TGGACAGGGGGTCCATTAGACTGACCATGATGCTATGCATTGGACAGGGGGTCCATTAGACTGACCATGATGCTATGCATTGGACAGGGGGTCCAGTAGACTGACCATGATGCTATGCATTGGACAGGGGGTCCAGTAGACTGGAAAATGCAGACAGTATTGTGGCCATTTTTAAAACATGTGGTCAAATCTGTTTAGTCACGTGATCTTAGTTGTGAGTATGTGCATGGATTGATGGATTGAATCTGGATGGTTTGTAGACCAGCTACACTCATGACCGAGTGCTACTAGATTGAGTACACAGAGGGAAGGCTTCAGTTCTGTCTCTGCCTCTTCTGGGGGCTACTTTGTACATGAGTTTCTTTTCCTGTCAAAGGATGATAACAGTAGTTCCAGAATGTCCCTTATAAGTGAGGATGGTGCAACTTCATCTCACATGCTTTGGACATGTTACCAGGAAGGACCAGTACCTGGAAAAGGTTGTCATACTTGATAAGTACAGGGTCAGTGAAAAAGAGGAAGACCCTAAATGAAATGGATTGACACATTGGCTGCAACAATGGTTTCAATACAGCGATGATTGTGAGGACGGTGCAGGCTGGGCTTGGGTTTCATTCTGTGGTACACAGGCTCGCTGCGTATGTATCGGAACCAGCTCAATAGCAGCTGACCACAGCAATTGCCTGAGGTGGCTGGTTGGATTCAGAAGAGGCTCTGCTGGTTCACTGGTTTTATCACTTGCCTGCTAACCAAAAGAGCATCAGTTTAAACCCACCACCACTCCACAGGAGCAAGATGTGCAGTGGGCTTCCATGATGATTTCAGCCTTGGACATTCTGTAGGGCAGGTCTACATATCCTATAAGGACGCTATGACTGGATTTGGTTTGGTTTGAGAGGATGAAAAGGAGCTGTTCTTGTTCTTGCTGTACTCTCATTACAAAGGTCGAGTGTTTGGTGATGAGGATGAGCATGCTAACAGACAGACACTGCTCTGGGCTCAGATCACAGGGAGGGGGCGATGACTCCAGCCCCTTCCAGTCTGTCCACCTCCCCACTTGAGAACATGAATATTCACAGCTTGGGCATTGGTGTAAAGTTTCTTTTGGGTGGGCTGCTGAGTCAGTCCGTAGTTTATGGTGATGTGACGGGGTCTCAGCATCTTCTGAACCACGAATCCCAAGGGCAGGAAAACGATTTAGAGAAACACAAACACGGCGGAAACGTGCAGTCTCCAAGAACTTCTTTGGGTCCTTCTGCCCAAGGTTTGTAGTGGAGTTGCTCAACCCGGTTGCTTTTTCTGGACCCACAGCGCCCTCTAGTGCCTGGAATCTGGAGCATTGCTCTGGTTTCCCTCTGCAGAGACTCCTGATATGCCAT